ATCTGCATGTGGGGAACTTAATTGTGGAAAAGAATTGCTGTATAGATTAAATGACTCATTCCATTGTTTTAATGGGCATGGAAAATAAGTCACAGTATGTAGTCTCCACCCATAAATGTATCTGTTTCTACGGATACTAGATGTGAGCAACTGAGTCATTGCCTTTAGCTCTGCCTGCCTCAGCCTTTCTTCACATGTGTGCTTTTCCCGAAGTGCCATCTGCCAGTATTTCAGTGGTTGGCAAGATGGTCTAACTAACCTTAACTTCAAGCAAACTGGGAACAAAAAGATACGGTCTGGCACCCTGAGCTGGCTGCCCTAGCTGAATCACGTTTAGTTCTTCCTTATTTCTCCTTTCTGAAAGAGAAGTTCTGTTTAACCTTCCAGTTTTGGGACATTCTTTTGTACCTTTTAATGCTTTGCCTAGTGTTAACTCTTAGTTAAGGCACAGAAAAGCAATTCGTAGCATTATTGTGCTGAGGAGCAGAATTAATTTACCTGGTGGAGGTTAATATTAATTACAGCTTTATGGGTCTGTACTGGTATCCCTGCACTGCCTGGCACTGAGCTGTGCTGTGTAAGCATTAGTTCTTCAAGGTAGTTTTGGTAATGTTGGTTTTCAGCTGCATTGTTCTGTGAAAGTGCTTCAGACCTCAACTTTTGGATTTCAGAAGATTAGGTTTCTGCTTTGATGCATGCAGGAGGAAGTTGTTATTACCCAGAAATGCTGGTGTATGTTTGAAGGGCAGACATACTAAAAACTATGTGCACTCTTACCATTATCTACAATCATCAATACTGTGTGACACTTGTACTTGTCAATAGGCTGGAAAATGTTACTTCTCCAAGAACTAGAGAAAGAGTGCTGATAAGCTGTTGGTTTGTTATGTTATCCTTTATCTAGGTGGCATCAGGATGTTGATAGCAATTGCTGGTAGTGCTCAGCTGAGAGAACTTTACTGGAGATAGGAAAGCTATTGTACTGGTGTTAGTGGAAATAAAAAGGTTGTTGTGTGGGGATTCATCAAAGTTTGTAAGCTGTTACGAGACTCTGGGGAAGATTCTAGTCCATATGTTTTAAGTTCACTTTTGTGTGACTTGATTTTCTGAAATGAAGTTGATAGTAGGCTGTTTGAGATTTGTCCAACTTGACCCTTGATTTCTGTCAGTAAGTGAAATTCAGTCCACTGCAGTCTGAGGCTTACGCTGCTCCAGCTGGCAAGGTACAGCTGAGACAAGACTGTAAGTTCTGCTAAGTG